CATGCCCCGGGAGCCGAGCTGTATCAGAAGCCCAGGGCACAGGCCAGAGCGAGGAGCCACCTGACAAGGGGCAGTGTGTTGCTGTTGGGGCAGCCGAGCCCCCTCCCAGGAAGGAGGCCCGCTCTGCCCCCCTGGGCTCCTGGCTGTGACCTCAGTCTCCCTCCGTGGCCCACCTGGCCCCACAGCCACCGTCCAACTCTCTCCCTCTACCCAGCCCTGGGCCTCAGCTCCTGTGACCTCGGCTCTGTTGGGAAGAGGTCACCTTGTGGCTGCTAAAGCCCAGGCACTGAGACAGCACAGAGCCTGGTGAGACACACACTGCCCACAGCAAGGTGGGACTGCATGGCTCAGGGCACCCAGGGCAGGGACGGCCACCGCCTTAGATTCCGCATGAATGAGAGGCAGTGTTTGTCTTTCGGAGCCTGCCTTGTGTGCCTAGCATAATGCTCTCCAATTCTGTCCACGTGGTTGGAATGAAAAGCTTTTTTTAAAAAGACTGAATAGTATTCCATCACGCAGACATACCACGCTTTCTGTATTCATTCTGTGTTCTTATCACCTACAGCATAACTGTTTGAGGTAATGGGAATGGTCATTATCTCAGTTTAATTATTTCACATTGTATTCATGAATCATAAATTACTTTGTATCCTATAAACATAAACAAAGATAATTTGTCAATTTATAGTTACAAAATAGAAATTTTAAAAAAATAAAAGTTACTAAAGCTATTAAAATTGTGGAAAGCAAAGTGGCTGCGAGGGCTAGCAGTGAGGAATGGCCCTCCTCAGGTGTCCTATGTGACCAGGCAGTGGTCACTGCAGCCAGCAGTCCCAGGCTGCACAGAGGAGGTGGCCATGCCCCGTAACAAGAACAAACCTGGAAGCCCCCATTGAGGGAAGATCTGCTGTTTCTTTGGTTTTGGGAAAAGACTTCCTTTGTCCTTAACTCATTGTTAAAAAGTGAGGCTAAACCAGGCCCTGCAGCAGGCTAAGCCAGGAGGGCAGAGACCACAGGAGGTCAGCACGGAGCACACTGGGCGGGAGCAAGGGTCAGCGCCCTGGTGCTGAGTGCCAGGCGGAAAGCGGTGGGGTCACACTGGCTGCCTCTCCAGGGGGCCATGGGATTACCGTGAGCTAAGTCCAGTGGAGGGTGCACGGGGGGCCTTTCACATGGGAAAATTCACACTGCAAGCTCCTTTATTATAGTAAAAATATTAGAACTCCTCTGGCACTGTCTTCTAGAACAACCTCAGAATGGCAAGCACGGACTGACATTTTAGATCATAGAGCAACTTATTTCTTAGGAAATGAAGACTACTGAGGCGAGAGAGGACAGCTGAGCTGACCAGCGTGGGAGCACTTTTGCCACAGACAGGCCGTCCAGACCAGGCGCAAACCCTGCAGGCCCTGTCCCTCCGCACACCTGTGCACCCAGAGCAACGGTGAGCGTCTCAGGGAACTGCTGAGGCTCCCTGGAGCCACCCCTTCAAGGCAGAGTAGGGGCCACGTGCAGACTCGGAGCTCAGCCGCCCCAGGAGATGGCCCTGGTTTCTGTCCCTAGGTCCACCCCGCACAGAGCTCTGCCACTGGGTGTGTACATTTCAGGGAGCACTGGGTCACACAGATCCTCCCCAACAACAGACAAAGAAAAAAGATAATATAGGCATGTTCTCTCCCTTCAGTCGCTTTCCCTGCGGCTGGCGTGTGGTGGGGCTGCTCCCGTCCCAGAGCCCCGCCCATGTTCCTCGTCTTGAACCCGCTTCCCACGTGTCCCCTGGGCAGCCCGTCCTCGGCCGGGCATCGCTGAGCTCCCCAGCAGGGTTCTCCTGCAGGTGATCTCTTGTGGGTCTCACACCTGTGAGTAACTGCGCAAGCGTCTGCCCCCAGAGGTGACGGCCTTGAGGAGGCACTGGTCGGTGATGTCCACTCCTCGCTGTGGACCTCGCATGCGCTGTACGCTCAGGGCGTCTAGGTGCTGAGTGAAGGATGACCAATGGGGCGCTGGAGGTGTTTCCAAGGTCACCTCAATCATTTCTTGTGGCCTGCCTATAACCAGGGTGTGTGGCCAAGAGGCAGGTACGGAACACAGTCCAGGCAGAGCCGATTCAAAGGAGCTTCTCTGCACAGAGTCAAGCTCCTTACCCCACAAGAACCTGCACACATCAGTGAGCTGGTAAAGAAGTGCCCAAGGCCGGTCATTGCAGAAGGGAAACATCTACACATGGAGAACAGAAAAGTCCCTGATTTAGAAGTTTAATTTTGAATGATTATGAAGACGGCCGTAACTCTGCAATTGTCATCGATGAGTCAAACGGGCCAGATAAGAACCAGCACAGGTGCAGGACCACAGGACCCAGAAGAGCATCTGGATAAGGCCCCAGAGGAGGCTCACCAGGAGAAGGCGAGGCAGGGGACAGCCAAGCCGTCTGGAAGGCTGGGGACTGATCTGTCCCTGCTGTCTGCCAGCTGGCCTGAGCTCAGTGACGTCCCCTTCCACAGAGCACTTCCCCAGCACAGGCACAGGCCGCTACCTCAAGCTCAGCCGCAGCTCCACACACTGCTTTTCCAGCCATCAGGCCTGAACTTGTGGCTCAGTTCTCCCCAATGGAGGGGCCAGTCACGCGCGCCTCAGCACAGTTCTTACTCGCTCACCTTTACACACCTGTCAGGTGCCCTAACAGCAGGACAGCGACTCTGATCAGCTGGCGCCATGTTGGTGGCCCCTTTGGAAGAGTGCCCACCGTGGCTTGCTCTCACGGAGGCCCAGTCTGTCTGGATGCCTCTGTTTTGGTTTGGAGAAGACAATCCCAGGGGTTTGGGCTGGCACAGTCGGTGGCCACCTCACGGAGTGGACATGGAGTTCCCAGCAGCACCCTACTTCCCCAGGCCAGCCCTTCGCACGGCCTTTCTCCTAAGGCAGGGTATTACTAAACGGCTTGTCCTCTGCCCAGGCCACATCCCAGGGAGAGGAGGGCTGCGTCACCTGGGCTGGGAGGGCCGGCCCGCGGGGTCAGAAGGACCCGCTGCTCAGGGCCCCAGCGCTGAGTCACCCCCACTGACTAGGAGGCCAGCAGACAACTTGCAGCAGCTGCCTCAAAAATGGATCGTCCCCCGGGATTATGGTGAGAGAAGCTCCTTTTACATGAGAAATTGACACTGAAAGGAGTGACTGACGGGGGTACCCCAGAACTGTTGGACTGTTTGGACATCACAGAGATGTTAGGCTCTGTGACTTATGTAAGTTATTAGCGTTATATAAGCAGCACAGGGAGAAAGATACCGGTGTCCACTGTTATATAACTAGGTCATTATTTTTCTGCCCAACATAAGCAAAACTCTGTGTTTATTTTAGGAGGCAGGTGGGCCAGGGAGAGAGAGGTCCTACCCCTGCTTCCAGAGACGGTCTTGGCGCAGGCCTCGCCCAGCCACTGCAGTGGACAGAGGTGAGTCTGATTGTCCTGACACAAAGCCAAGCAGAGAGCACAGCACAAGGCGGAGGCCCCAGCTCCCAGGGCCAGGGAGCCCCCAGCCCACAGGCCTGTCCCCGTGGGCACTGCAGGTTCCTCGTGGACGCGAGTCCCGGCCTCTGGTGGTTCTTCTGGCACGAAGTGCAGCTCGTGTGGGGTCAGCCCGTCTCTCTGTATCGATTCCTGTCTGAAAACTCACCAGGGTCCCGGACACAGGGAAAACGAAGGGATCCCAGATGCCCTGTCCGTCCACCATGGTGTCAGGAACAAATCAACGCCTCCAGTCCAACAAAGACAAATTGGCCTCCACGTCTTTCCTGACACAGCCATGGGGCGAGGCGGACTCCTGCAAACACAGCCGGTCCAGGAGAGGTCCTGAACTGCAGTTCTCTCGCCCACTGTGGAGCACATATGCGAGGAGCCTGGAGCTCTGCTCCCTGGTTAGTGATCCAGTGGAATGGGACATTGTCTCCTCATCTGGAATCCTACAGCACAACGAGGAGACATTCAGGAAAGCAGGTCTCACGCCAGACATTCAAGCATCAGCCAATCGTGTGGTAAATCCCTGGGGGTAATAATAACCAGGGACCCAGAGGAAGAGCCTGAGGTCTTAGTGATCACAAGATTCATTTTTATGTAAGAGAATAATCTACTGAAGATCAGAGAATAGAGCGACTCTGAAGTCGCAGTGAGCTAGAGGGAAGAGGAGGTGCAGGTGTGCTTGCCCTCCGAGAGGACCTGCTCAGGGTGGACCCTCCTCGATTCCTGCCCCTCCTCTCTGTGCAGAAGCTTCCTAGGATCACCTCTCAACTAAGCTGTGGGTTCCCAGCTCTTTGTGTGGGGAACCCCAACTAGAGGTAGACTCAGGGGAGACCCCAGTATGAGAAGCGTGAGTCACCTGTTCAGAGCCACTGGAGCCGCCTGGACAGGAGCCCCTTGTCACGGTCTGTTGACGTGAGCTGTGACAGCGATTGTTCCTGGTCCTCGACTGCCCGCAGGTCCCAGGCCCTCTCCTGCCTGGTAGCGGGCTGCTCCTCGGCTTCCCCAGCTGTGCCTCAGGACCGGGTGCTCTGGGTCTGGGTTGTGGGGAGAAGGCCCAGGCGCCCACTCTTTCCGTTCCCGTGGCCCCTGGCTGGGGAACAGGGCTGGGTGAGCGTCTCGGGGACAGCATGTTTCAGGGTCGGTAGCTTCCCACCACCCTGGACACCAGACATTGGTGGAGAGGACAGGGAATCAGGAGGAAAGCACTCCCAGGTCAGGGACGGGAGGCACCCACCTGAGCCGCGGGCAGCCGGCTCCTCCTGTGTCCACACACGGGAGCCCTGGGCTGGTCTTCTCCTCCAGGGATTTATGGCGGTGCCGACTCTAAGATGCCGCTCTGACAAACAGCGCGTTGATCCAGGGCTACGGAGTCGTGAGACGGGAGTCCTCGCCCTTCTGTCAGACGTCTCAGCCCAGGAAACAGAGAGCCCGGGAACAGAGAGTCGGGGCTTTCCACTTGCAGCCTTTGCTGCCGCTCCAGGGCACGCGCCAGGACCCAGCTGAAGACCCTGAGGAGGGCTTGTGCCAGCTCGTTACTTAACCCGCAGCCACGCTGTCGATCCTTCAAGGACGGCGCAGGCTGGTCTAGGAAGAGGTAAATTCTTGCAATAATGAAATCCTTCCAGAAAGTTCTAAGGGTCTGTGATGAGCCAAAGGCCAATCACCTAATTTCAAATATCCAGGCAGGAAACGTGAGTGGCGCCTGTTAACCTGGAGTGAGTTATGACCAGGGTTAACTCAGGGGCCAGAGGAAGGCCACGAAGATGCACGTTGTGCGTTCAGCAGACACGGAGTCGTTTTCTCGGGGGTAAGCTGACAAAAATATGGGCCTTCTCTCTCTCAAAGAGACAGGAGGGAATCTGATTAAACAATAACAAAAACAACTTTGGCAATGAAACACAAATGAAGGCATCGGAAATTCTCCCACTTGACACACTGGGTTTAATGAAAGGCATCACAGGAGGAAGACATGCCGACAATCACTCCTGATCACGTGCTGCCCGGTGGCAGGCTCCGTGGCTCCTCTGCAGCAACTGTTCTGCCATCCCGGGAGGGAGGTGGCATGTCCAAGTGTATCCAGGGTTTGTGGTCACCCTGGAGGTGGAGTTTTTTATTTCATTGAAATGGAGCAAAGGAGGCATTCGCTGCAAACTTGATGCATATTTATAGTATGGTTATTAACTAAAGCTTTATTCAGAATGAGCCAGCTGGAAATACTTATTTTTACATCAAAACTACACAGGAAATGAGCTTTCTCCCCTAAATGATGATCCAGACAATGACGGTTCATTCAACCTGATCGATTGATGCTACCAAGATATCTTCCGGGCCTTTCGGTTCCAGAACACGGACAAAAGCTACCTGCTCGTCACTCGCCACTGTGTTTACACATCAGAGTCTGGTTTGGGACACATCCCTACAATTTTGAGCACTTATTGTTTGTTTCGTCTCCAGCAAACACGGCAGTTACTCATCATTAAATACTGGGCTTCATGAAAAGCCATTTTTAAACTTTCTCTTCCTCCTTCCATAAATCGGCGTAAGGGCTTCTCCAGAAGTTCACCCACGTGGTCATCAGCAGCTCCCTGGCTGTCTCTCTGACCATCAGGTACCAGTCTATGAGGTTCCTCTAGGCTGATCCGGTTTGTTCTTCCCTAAGCTCAGTTCGCACCGTGGTCTTGCCCTTTCTTCTGTCCAATCTCGCTCAGGAGGCAGGTGGGACCCTGGGCCCCCGGCTGCACCCGAGAGACAGGCCTCGGCCTCACCAGGCCTCCTTCCAGACTGGGGGCTCAGGACCCCAGAACGGGTCCCTCCCAGTCCTGGAGATGAGGGGGCTGAGGCTGCGTCCTGGCTTGTGCACTCTGTCCTCTGTCTTGACCTGCGGGTGGTCTCGGGGTCTCCTGCTTTTTTTTTTTTTTTTTTTTGAGACGGGGTCTTGCTGTGATTGCAACCACTGGTCTTGAACTCCTGGGCTGTGGCCATCCTCAGGCCTCCACCTCCCAAGTAGCTGGAAGAAGAGGCTGGACCAGCCTCGCCCAGCTTGAAGCCCATCATGCACTCTGCCCGCAAGAGGCCTGGCCGCCTCCCAGGGCCTCCTACCCCCAGCCCCTGCTGGCTGTGGTCAGGGTTTCAACGTGTGGGTCGTGGGGCACGGTCTCCCCCCATTGCTCTCTGCTGTTCCTTAGTTGGATAAATGGCAAATGTTCCGTGGGACCTGGGAGCTGGCAAGTCCCTGCAGTGTGTGAGGTCCCAGAGGGCGCGGTCAGCCAGCTCATACCAGCTGGTTCACGTTGTAAGTAAGACCCAGATAATCAACGAGAACTTTAAAATTGATGTCTGATAATTACATTAATTGGTGCTGAAAAGCTGCCATTAAGGAAAATCATAAATATTGAACATTCATAATTCATGTGTATGGTTGGAATCATGTGATTTCCTGAATACTGAAGTAATTTTGATGTCAGTAGTGAATAATGTAGACTAATAAAAATGAAAGAGACAGGAAACTTAGATCCTGACTTAGCCCATCTGCCTAGTGGCCTCCGTTTCACCTGTGCACTGTGATCCACGTGGTCGTGGGGATCGCGTGCCCTGTCGGCGTGCTCAGTGACGTGTGCCCACCTGGTGCCCCGGCCCTCCCCCGCCCCTCCTCCGCTGGCTCCGCCCATGTGTCCCCCTCTGGTTCTGCTCTGTTCTCCTGCGAGCGTCATGATCGTGAGCAGAAGCCACGTCCCGTGGTCCAATCCTCCGTGGGCACTGGTGGGCTTCGTGCCCCTCTCCCCAGCCTCTCCTCCACGCCCTCCTCTCTTCCTCTATTGCTGGTCTCCTTCTGTTTTAATGAGCCCCCTCTTCTTAATTCCCTTCCATGTAGGAGAGAAAACCTTCCTTCCACCTGGACCTTCTGATCCCTCTTATAAGTCAAAGGACCGACAAGGCCCCTGAGGGCTGGCCTCGCAGTGAGCCGGGAGCGGTTGGGATGCCATCTCCTGGGGTGCTCAGCGAGGCGGGAGGTGGGTGCCGCGCTGTGCTGCTCACTCCGAGGCTGGCGGAGGGCCCTGGACACCTGGCCACCGAACAGCCGCGGGCAGAGGCGGGCGAGACGTGCTCCCTGCAGAGCGGGCAGCAAGCTGCGCCCACGGGGGAGAGCTCCTGTGGCAACACGGGCAGGTCCTGGGCGCTGGCTCTGTGCCGCCGCAGCCCCTTCCCCTGCGCCCAGCTGCACTGGCCTTTGAGAGGACAGACAGCTGGTCCTTAGCTCGTGTTTTCGTCAACCCCCGACAGCTCCGCACACCCCGCAGAGCGAGGCAGCAACAGAGCCCTGGACCCTGGTGGGTGGCAGACAGAGAAGGCGGGAAGGAGAGGGAGGTGGCCTC